CCCCCCTCCCCCGCCCCGCCCCCCCGCCCGCGGCCCCGTGAGGTGGGGTCCCTCGGGGCGTGGGGAGCCGGGCCCCTCTCCGCCCCGCTCCCGGGGGGGAGGCCCTGAGGGGCTGCGGGCAGCGCCTGTGGAGGTCACCTTCGGTGCACCGTTGCCTTTCCCTGTCCCCTCTGCTTGCCAGGCTTTTCAGGTTTCCGTGGGCTCCGTGGGAGGGAGAGGACAGGAGAGGAGGAGGCTGTGGAAAGGGTTTTGGGGAAGAGGGAGGTGAGGAGGGTCCGTAGGTGGGTCCCTGAGGGGGAGACCTGAAGCCCTGTGAGCCATCTCTCCGGCCCAGGTCTGAGGCGTTTGGGTGCTCTGTGCCTCTAGTAAACCATGTATATTCTTGGAGCTGTGGGGTTTTACCCTGTCACCTGGGGACAAAAGCACTTTTAAAAGGGTGCTGTGCTGGTGAGGCTTTGGAGCACTGAAACTCTCCAGGCTGCCTGTCAGAGTTTAGGTTTTGTTACTGCCGTACTTGGAGTTTGCTTAAAATTGCATTACCCAAGAAGTGGAATTCCACACGAGTTTCTTCTCCTGATTTTGTAAAAAGATTATAGAAGCGTTAATGTGAGGTGCATGATTTTGTGAACACTGAAATTGAAAGAAATGTGCAAAATGAAGAATAAATTAACTGGCTTATGGCAATAGGAGCAATCTGTCTAGCTGGAGGCAAGTGGTGGACCAGGAGTTTGACCAGCAAAACCAGATTAAAATATTGAACTGAGTGAAAAAGATGTGATATTAAATCCATGTAGAAATGCATTACCTATTTCTTTAATGTCTCTCAACGTAACAACCAATATGCTAATGGCAGTCAAGGTTTTCCCTGATATGTATCTATGTTAAGATAAAGTTTAGAAATTGTTTGAAGAATGAAAGAGAAACACTGAATTAATGTTGTGTTCTTCATTTGCCAGGTTGAAACAAGAGAAGATGAGGAACAAAACATCAAGTTGACTGAAATTTTGGAACTGTTGGTGGCTGCTGGGTATTTTCGAGCAAGAATCAAAGGATTATCACCCTTTGACAAGGTGAGACCAATGCAGGATTTTCAAAAACCTTTTTTAAGTATATGAGGGTTGTGTATTTTTTGCAACTTAGTTTAGCAGTGCTAGGTGATTAAAAAAAAATACTTGGAAGACATGAGGCTTTCCTATGTAAATAGTTCTGCAAATGACCCAGTTTCAGGCAGATAGGACCTCCTCAGTCCTAAAAATGTTTTTGTGCAGCAAGGCCTGTTTTAAAGGAGACAGTTGGATGCAAGCTAATTGCTGGTATGCTTTTCTGTGGGTGTTATGGCCTAAGTTAGAGTCATATATGGGGAAATTTGCCCCTCTCTCAACTGCAGTTAGAAGAGCTAGAAAGACTTGATACTTGGAGATAGCATGGTAATTTTAAAAAGAATTATTCATTCATGAGAAATGAGGAAATATTTGTCTTGAGAGGCTCTGTGTAAGAATGGAACTGTTAGTAGCCTAGTGAGATTATTTTGGGGCTGTTTTTACGTCTCTTTAGAATGTCACATATGTTAATCTTTCATTGTCCTAGACAGGAAGTATGTGATACTGACAGTGAGCAAAGTTCAGGTTGAAAAGAAACTTCTGAATGGTTTTAGTGCTGACTGTGTGAGAAATTCCTGAACCAAGGTTTGAAAACACAGAACTACGGCAGCCTTGAAATGGACTCTTCTGTTTTCTGCTGCTTCTTTGATCATAGCACAGCCCTACTTTGCAATACAATTTTAGTTTCTCCAAACTGCTTGGCATTACTGACCTTAGCTGTTCAGCA